CTCCAGGGGCCGCGTTAGTCCATCAGTACAATGGGAAGCGCGTTTGCAGTGGCTCTGGGGATCAGAGTTCATGGCATCCATGCTCAGAGTGAGCCTCCTGTGTGGTGAGCTGCATGTGGGAGCGGCCGATCCAGGAGGAGGGGGTTCCCAATGGCCAGAACTGGGCTCTGACACCCCTGTCCTTGCTGAGACTTAATACGTGAAGAAACAGGACCAGGAAGAAGAGACCTCGCTGGGATTCCTGTCAGTTTCAGTGAACCTCCCCAGGTCTCAGATTTCAGGGGCTGGATGTCCTTAGCGTGCTGCGCTGCGTTCATAATTGTTCTCAAGCCAGGCAGCACCAACAGCCTCGCTCCTGGAGAGCCCTGAGACTCGGTGGAGCAGGCAGTGGCTGCCAGCATCATATGCCTCCTAGAGCGCAAGACAGATCCAGCTCTGCCCTTTTAGAGCCCACCATCCAGGAGTGACAGATGGAAGAATTAGTGCTGTAAAGGGGGCGCAGGAGTGCCAGGAGACCCAGAAAGTCAGGGAGGGATTCATGAAGGAGGTGACTGCAGGGCAGAGACTAATGTACAGGAACGTGTTAGCCACACTGCTGGTGCCAGGCTCCTGGGGAGCTGCAGTAGGGATCAGGGAAGTTGTCCGCAGGGAGGGGAAGCCAGGGGGCCCCGTCCTGGCTGCACACACCTCACTCTGGCCTTCTGCTCTTCCTCCAGATCGAGGTGCTCCCCCCGGAGCTCTTCCAGTGCCGGAAGCTGCGGGCCCTGCATCTGGGCAACAACGTGCTGCAGTCCCTGCCCTCGAGGGTGGGCGAGCTGACCAACCTGGCGCAGATCGAGCTACGGGGCAACCGGCTAGAGTGCCTGCCGGTGGAGCTGGGCGAGTGCCCGCTACTCAAGCGCAGCGGCCTGGTGGTGGAGGAGGACCTGTTCAACACGCTGCCACCCGAAGTCAAGGAGCGGCTCTGGAGGGCCGACAAGGAGCAGGCCTGAGTGGCCAGAGGAGCAGTCAACAGTGGGACCCTCGCGAGTCCTCAGGCCGGGCGGGCCACCATGTCCCTCCCAAGACTTCTGGACAGCCAGCCCAGCCCTAACCAGGCGGAGCCTGGGGCCGGTGTGAGCTGGGCCAGGGCGAGAGGACAGTATCCGAGGGGCTGGCCCCTCTTCTCCCTGAGCCTCATGCCCCGCCAGGGCAGGCGCCTGTCGGGGAGGCCAGAGACCGAGTTGGTCTCAGAGTGCAGTATTGGACAACAGGGTCTCCTCCTTTGAGGCCACCTCTGCCTCAGAGTCTGGTAGACACCAGAGGTCAGGGACACCAACCTAGCTCTTGGTATTTATTTTTCTCCACCTCCCATCTTCTTCCTCTAGATAACTTAGACATTCCCGAGAAAGTTCAGCTCCACGGGAGGTGTTTAAGGAACGCTGGGTGGTGTTTTCCCTTTTTTTTTCTGGGTGATGCCACCAGCATCGGATGCCCATCCAGACTTGAGCAGAGCGGTCCAGGATGAACAGCTGCGGAACAGTGCCCAGGGTGCCAACTGAGCTCTGGCAGCAGGGCCTGTGGAGAGCGGGCCGCGGCAGAAGGCCAGGCCTGGGTTCTCCTCATCCGTTTCTGTGGCGTTTCAGATTCTTTTTTTTTTTTTTTTTTTTTAAGTCAAATGAATGTTTTTGTTGTTGTTTAGTTTTATTTTCTAAGCTTTGAAAATTGATGGTTTGGGTATTAAAAAGAAAAAAAAAAACAATACTAAGGGCCAGTGAGTTGGAGTCTCAGGTAGGTGGCAGTTTCCCTTGAGCAAGGCAGCAAGACATTGAACTGTGTTTCCTTCCTCCGGGGTGTGGGGTGCAGGGTGTCTTCTGAGTCTGTTGTGACCTTGGCCAAGAGTTCTGTTTGTCCCTCTCCCCTCCTGTTTGTTTTCGGGGTTTTTTTTTTTGGTGTCTTGTTTTCTTTCTCCTCCATGGGTCTTGGCAAGCGCTCATTTCTGTGGCTGTCAGCCAAAAGGAACATTCTGGGGCTGCCAGGAAGGGAGGAGACTCGGCTTGTCCGGTCCCCGAATGAACGGTGCTGCACCCCGTCCGCCGCCCACCCCTCCACGCACAGTACTAGGCGCCCAGGGAGCTACTTAGCCCCGATCTGTCCCTCACTGTCATGGTCTGCTCAGTGCCACCACTCACCTGTGCTGCTTACGTTGGCCCCATCACCACCTGGTCCTTCCTGAAGAGCAGACGTATCGAGGTGGGCGGGCACGACCAGGTTCTGGCTGCACACCAGTTCCGTCCGGTGCCTGGCTTGCCTGGTGGGGGACACTCACTTTAGAGCAATCACTTGGTCCCCCCTCTAGAAGGGTCCCCGCCTTAGATCAATCACGTGGACACTAAGGCACGTTTTAGCGTCTCTCGTCTTAATGATTATGTCTGTCTGTCTGTGTTTTCTGCGTCATGTCATTGGATGTAATCCTCACAAATAATGCACACTAGCCTCTGACAACCATGAAGCAGTCCGTTACCTGTGGGTCTGATTGTAGACTCAGATCAAATATCAAATAAATCTATAACACGAAGTAGCCTCTGGAGGTCTCCATGTAATGGGGGCCCTTCCCTCATGTGTGAAGCCTGCTGGGCTCGAGGGACCATTTCTTGGGTACCCACATAATGGTCAGCTTCGCTCATCTTACTGCTCCATGAAGTCTGGAGCTCCTTCAGGGCAGTTTCTGGAGGTTCTGAGCTGAATGGGGCTCCCGTAGGTGCCAGGTGTGGCCCTGGCAAGGGTCCCCCTGCCAGCATGTTCTCTGCCCTCCCAGTTGCCTGTGGTGTAAGCCCTTATGAGCGTTGACAGTTGTGGAGTAGGAGAGGCCACCAGAATGGGGGCCAGTAGTCCAGGGTCCTTCTCACAGCTCAATCATCCCATGCATAGTGGTGGAGAGTCCCTTCCTGTGGCCTCTATGTCTCCATCTGTGTGATGGGCATTTCCATTCTGTGCTCTCCAAGGTCCCTTGTGGTCCCAACAGCAAATCCCCAGGGTTCTTTTTCTTTCTTTTTTTTTTTTGGTACCAGGGATGCTTCACCACTGAGCCACATCCCTTTTTATTTTATTTGTTTATTCTGAGACAAGGTTTTCCCAACTTGTTGAAGCTGTCCCTGTACTTGTAATCCTCCTGCTTCAGCCTCCTGAGTCACTGGGATTGCAGGCATGTACCACTATGCCCAACTGGGTTTATTTGTTGTTGTTACTGTTGGTTGGTTTGTTCTGTGATGCTAGGGATTGAACTCAGTGGTGCTCTACCACTGAGCTACATCCCTAACCCTTTTTATTTTCTATTTTAAGAGGAGATCTCACTATGTTGCCTAGACTGACCTCAAATTTGCCATCCTCCTGCCTCAGCCTCCCAAGCAGCTGATGTTACAGATATGCACCACTGAACCCTGCTGACAGTCGCTGTGGGTAGGCCCCGTTCAGGTTTCAGCCCCTTGGGGGGCCTGCTGAAGGTGCTAGGGGTCAAGGGCAGAGGCTGAGAGGGATGGACAGAGCTGCCTTCAGATCCCAGTTTTGCAATTCATTTGACATGAGACTTCATTTTTCCCTGTTTGTAAAATCAGAATGGCATCAGTAAGATAGTTGTGAGGAACAATGATGACTGTAGTGTCTTGGTCTTTTTTCTGTTGCTAGAACACAATACCTAAGTTTGGGTAATTTAGGTTCATGGTACAGAGGCTGGCAAGTCCAAGACCTGGCAGCTACATCTAGTGAGGGCCTTGTGCTGCTTCATAAGGTAGCGGAAGTTGGGAAGGAGAAGGCTCCCTGGGAGAGGAGAAGGCGTAGTAGCTAAGCCTGCCATTCATGGGCAGCCCCAATCACCTCCTGCTAGGCCCTGCCTCCCCCACATTAAGAAAGGGAGGTTCCAACAGATGGACTTGAGGGACATGCAGAAACCACAGCACGCAGGTGAGGAAGCTATTGAGTGTGAGGAAGGCTCCTACCTTCTGTCCTCCTAGACCAGCAGGGAACCTGTGGCAGAAGAGAGGCCTCGGCCGGCCAGAGACCTGAGTGGCGTGGGCCCTTCTCTGGAATAAGCCAGGGCCTTGCCTTCTTCCCTCCACAGGTCTCTGATTCCTTAGGGAGGCAACCTCAGGTCTCAGCAAAGACTCCCCCCTTCTGCCCCTGTCCTGGACTGCTGACAGGGAGACTGAGCAGCTGAGTGTCCACCCCCTAGAAGACCCTCTTGTACCTCCACAGTAGAGTCTTTCTGTCTGGTCTGGTAACCCTCCCACCAGCCCCCATGCCCCATCCCCACTGCCTCCCCTACCCCAGCCATGGGGCCTTATAGCCAGTGCTTGGAACTAGAGTTTGATCTGGAACTGGTTACTTCTGGAAAGAACAACAATGTGGGAAAACCATCCACCCGCCTCCCAGAGTCCAGCAGAATGAACAAAGGGTGGAGGCTAAACTATTCTTCCCCTACCCACCCCCACCCAGGCCTTTCCACTCTGCCTAAAACCGAAGTGGTAGACTTTTCTCTGGTTCCAACAGCAACTTGAAAAACTTGGGGAAACTCAAAAAATTTAAAAACCATCAACCTTCGCGTTCTGCCCCAAAGGGCCCCCACTAGCACTGGGTAAAGCAGCTGCAGGTACTCCCTAGGTGCCATGCTCACGCCAACCTCTTTATCAGCAGTGTTCCACTTACTGCTCACAGGAGGCCCTTCTGTTAGTCCCATTGCGGTTGGGTAAAGTGAGAGTGGGCCTGAAAGCTGAGCTGCCTCCCTGAGCCTCTGCCTCCAGCCTGCAGGGAGGTCCTTGGGGAGGTTGCTGACTGAGCATGAGGGGCCTCGCTGTTCCTCTGTTGGCAGGTGCCTGCATCAGAAGGGGTTAGGACAGCTGGGAACAGCCCTGCCCCCATGACCCTCATGGTTATGTCTCTGGCCTCTCTCCTCCCCCAACTAGACCCCCTGAGCTTCTCCCACCAGCCCCAGAAGCCCAGCGGGCT